ATATGAGTGATGAAATCATCTGGATATGGACATCTGGACCCAGGTTTTCTGACGAGCAGCGACAGGAATCACAGCATGTCAGCCAGGCTTCTGAATGACCGAATTCTGATCGAAGACCACCAGAGGGAGCCAGCAACCAGGATGTCATCAAACTTTCTTAAACCAGGTATCCAAAAATGTGTAGTATGCTCAAAAAACCACCAGAGGGAGACTGCACCTTGAAATGCGTCCGATGGTTCCCTTAGAAAGGACAGGCTCAAAGGAAATGAGCCCAAGCACAAAGGGTATCTTAGTGCAACACTGGTTTATTAGGTGCAAAGTAATGACAAGAATAAAACTCACATGCTAAGGTACAAGTGGCCTAATGGCCAAAAATGAAGTCCACGTGGTAGAAAGGTCACTGAGGGCAGCTTTCTGACATGTTTCGTGCTAAGGCTATTTGCACCCCTTTCCCTCATTGTTGAGTCAAAGTACTGTACAACTAAAAGTATTCCTGCATGGAGTTTTCCTATACAATACCTTTCAAGGCATAAATGCAAAGATTCCAATCTACTTCGTTGGTGGGTTTTTTTTTTGGGTTTTTTTTATGTGCAGGCTTAAAAACATATAGGTCCAATAGGTCTACCATTACATTCTACACTGGCCAAAGTTGACTAAACGTCTAAGTTGTTTTCCCCCTTGTCATTGACTTGTTTTTAATGTAACATATTCCTCATCCCCTTCCCACCTGGGCCCTCCTCTCTAGGATGATACATGCTGGGGGGATCCCTAGGTAGCAGTGTGAGATGGAAGACCCCATGCTATTGAACTTGTCAGCAGTATGAGGCAGACCAATGCCATTGAACTGCAATTGCTTGAAAGAGTATAGGTTATTTTTACGGTCTCATGCACACTGGACATTTGTCCGTCAGTCCTAGATGCCTTTCTTTCTGACAGCAGTGTTTTGGCCAAAAAAATGCTTGATGCTTATAAAACGCGTGAAAAGTAATTAGGCGCATTTAGGCACATCAAGAACTTTGGTGTTAATTCATTTTGAGGGCCATAATAATAATTTATTCTGGCCATTGAAATGAACACACGAGCCTAGCGTTAAAGTGTTACTAAAGGCTAATTTGTTTTTGTTTTCTATTAAAATAACAAACGTTATTCTCACCTGCTCTGCCCAGTGTTATTGCATAAAGTGGCCCCAATCCTCCTCTTCTCAGACCCCTGCCGACAATCTTGGCTCCTCCTCTTTTGCCGTTTGCTATGGAAGCACAAGGTGTCTGCTCGCTCCCGAGCTGTGTGTCTATGGAGCTGTGCGCCATAGGATCACGCAGCGGGGCTTAGCCCTGTCCCCCCACTTCCTCCTCACTGCATTTGACTTACAGCACAGAAGCCAATGGTTCCTGCTGCTGCTTGAGTGCTGTGTGAAGAGTAAGAGAGGGGAGAAGAGATGAAGCCGTGCACAGCACTGGATCTCTTCTCCCCTTTCTTCTCCTTCACACAGGGAAGGGAGAGCACATACAAATATAAAATGTTTTTCACCTTAATGCAAGCAATGCATTAAGGTAAAAAAAAATGTTTTTAGCTTTAATATCATTTTAACGTGCATTTATGTGTGAACCAGGCCTTACACCCCGGTCACATCAAACACGAATCTGAAATCGTGCGACTTACAGTGAAGTCGCACAATTTCAAAGTCAGATGACATGCCTATTTCAGGTGCGATTTGCAAGACATCTGACATAGATGTCTATGCAAATCGCACCAAAAGTAGTGCATGTACTGCTTTAGAAAATTGGTGCGGTTCCAACCAAGTCAGAACCGCAATGATATGACCGCTCTAACTGCAGACAATAGGGGGCTCCTTGGCATGCTATTTAAAAGTGGCATGGCATGCAAATTGCATGCCAATTCACATCCAGTGTGACCGGGAACTTAGACTAGATTCACGCTTATGCGGTTTTCAGCGTGTTGCTCAGTTTGTAGAAACACACTACAGCCCATTTAATATGTTTTCCTATGGCTCTTTTTCAGATCTGTGTGTTTTGAGTGTTTTTTGGAAAGGGTCAGGGACTTCTTTTTAACCACAGCATAAGCATGAACCTAGCCTTAATTTCAATTCCCTCTAATGGGAAATAAGGTCATCCATGCCTGCCCTGACTGTTCTCATGCTGCAAGAAACTGACAGAGACTGCCTGCATGTATCAAAACCCTGCCAAGAGAAGGCTTGCATATACCAAAAGACAGGAAGTGAGAGAGAATAGAAACAAGGAAACGTTCAATCAACTCTTTCTTTCACAACCCAAAAGTCTAGTAAAATATTCTTGCAACATCCAGTTGTACATAAATACATTTAAAGTATACCTAAAGGAAAAGCTTTTTTTTGTTTTGGATAGAGCAGAGAGAGATTAGAACACCTGCCAAGTTTTATTGCTGTGTCCCCATTAGAGAGATTAACCCCTTTATTTGATCTGTTTACCATTATCATTGACAGTGAAAGTGAAAGAAAATTCCAAATTTTGGGTTGTCCCCAGAAAAGTAATAGAGGGAAAAACTTGAAATTGAGACACAAATTCTGATGATCTATGGGGCCCCAAGGGATTCCTTTAATTTGCCGGAATTTCCTCTCACTTTCTGTTTGGCTATGGAACAGGAAGTGAAAGGAAATCTCCCCGTTGGGACACAGATGGTTAAAAAAAAAAATCTGACAAGGGTTATAACCCTCCCTTGATCTATCCAAAAGGAAAAAAAAAATGTTGCCTATACAGGGCCTTAAAAAAGTATTAATACCCCTTGACATTTTTTACATTTTGTTATGTTGTAACCAAAAATGTAAATGTATTTTATTGGGATTTTATGTGATAGACCAACACAAAGTGGCACATAATTGTGAAGTGGAAGGAAAACCGATAAATGGTTTTCAAAATTCCAGTAAAATACATTTAAGTTTTTGGTTGTTGTAGAATATAATTCATTTAGCGTATAACAGACGTCTGTATTCTTTATATTTCTGACTCCCCAAAGTCACTTAGAAACTCAGTATTAGCAAAGTTGAAAATTAACCATGAGTGTGAATGGCTTTGAAAACAGGTGTTGGAGTGTACCATGGTTTTTCATGGCTAAGAGGTCAGTAGGTCATAGAGTTCTCATTTTAATATATATCTCTTGGAATGCAGTAAGAAGCTAAGAAAGAGCTACGTAATATGCCTTTTCTAAAGAAAGTCATTTCTAGTCCATAATATAGTTAGATAGTTATTTCATATAGTTAGTTAATGAATTAGTTAGGAATAGTGTGTGATGGTATATTCTCAATTATTGTTGATTATGTTTATGCATTGATGTGATCACTGTCCTTGTGTTGAAGGTTGAACCTGTTTTAAAAGAATGGAATTATGTGATCACGTAACAATTGATCTGTAATTTATTGTATCTTTTGTATTCATTTTATGTTGTTGCCAAGTGTGAATTAAATAAAAGTCACACGGTTTTAAATCAGCCTGGCACTAGAACACTTTAAATGTCTAAGTAGGACACTTAAATAACATAAGTGTCAAGATATTTAACAGTTGTAACATGACAAAATGTAAAAACTTTCAAGGGGTATGAATTCTTTTTCAAGGCACTGTAGTTCTACTTTAAACCTTAATGTGGAAAGGAAAAAAGTGGCAGTGCTTTGGGTGAAAGAAAACAGATCAAGAGAATGAGAAGTTCAGTTCAGATCTATAGCTGGTCTCACATGGGCCACAATTGTATCTCTGTAAGCTATGAAGAGTGAAATCAAAAAAAATTTAATTTATAGATAATGTGATGATCACCATGCCTCTAAGCATAGAGATGTTACATTGAGGTGAAAATATGTATTCAAAGTGTGTATCGATAAGCAAAAAGAACTATAAAAAGGTGTACTGTGTTTACTATTTCAAAATACCCTTTGTTGAAAATTTTAAAATTAATTTTGGCAAAATAATCTACTTTGTAGCCGCTCATCACATAAATGTCAACATGTTAGAATTCCATGCAAAATCTAACCATTATAAAAATGTCCCCTTCCCTCTTCTCCACTTACATTTGTGCTCATAAGAGATTCCCAAATTTTCCACAGTCAGTACAGATTGAACAGTACTGACTGGCATATTCAAGGCTTTGCATATCTTTTTATATCCTTTTCCATTTTTATAACATTTCATTACTTTGTTATGCACATCTTTTGACAGTTCTTTTCTGTTCCCCATGGCTCAGTATCTAGCCTGCGCAGCGCATCCACGTGAGAGCTAACAAACTCATTGGCTATTTATACACAGACACTAACTGCAATTTAAAAAGCCAAAGATGTGGGAAACTAGGCCAAACATTCCAGGGTATGCAAACTTTTGATCACGGCCACTTGGGTGATTACGGTTATCATTATGATTTAAAAAGGAGCCAAACAACTATTTGATAATAAATGGCTTCTTATGATCACGATCCTTAAATAAAAGACTGTTTTGGCACGATCTGTCATTTTTCAATATCAATGCCAAAATTTCACAATTTCTGCTAGGGTATGCAAACTTTTGAGCACAAATGTATTCTGACTAAAGTGTGTAAGAAAGATCTGTATACTTATCTATTTTCAGACTGCTCTGGTCTGGTCAAGCCTGCAGCATAAACATCTTCCATAAACTCCTAATGGCCCATCCCCTGTCCATGCTCCCTCTTGTCCCCTGCAATAGCCACTGGCTACCACAAGGGATCCCAGATAATGTGACCTGACCACAGGAATTCTACATTAACTAGTTGCCGACCGCAGATAGCCGAATGACGGCTGCACTGCGGCCGGCCAGTTCTGCGTGGACGTCATATGACGCCCTCCCAGAACGCACTCTCCTGCGCGCCCCAGGGGGCGCGCACCCGGCGATCTCCATGATCGCTGTGTCCTACGGACACAACTGATCACGTGATGTGGTAAAAGGCCAATCACAGCGGCCTTTTATCACGTGATCAGCGGTGTCCAATGACACGCTGATCAGAGGGAAATGCAAGTGCCGGTTCTCGGCTGCACTTTCCTCACGCTGTCAGATCGTGAGGAAAGTACTGCCGAGAACCGGCAGTTGTCAGAGCGGGGATTGGCACCGATCATCAGGGCACTGATGATCAGTGCCCTGATGATCGGTGCCCAGCAGTGCCACCCACAAGTTCCGCCCACCTGTGCCCAGCAGTGCGCCCACTAGCTCCGCCCACCTGTGCCCAGCAGTGCACCCACCTGTGCCCAGCAGTGCACCCACCTGTGCCCAGCAGTGCACCCACCTGTGCCACTCTGCAGTGTCACACACCTGTGCCCAGAAGTGCCACCTACCTGTGCCCAGAAGTGCCACCCACCTGTGCCCACCAGTGCTGCCCACCAGTGCCACCCACCAGAGCAGCCCAGCAGTGCTGCCAGTCAGTGCCACCAGTCAGTCCCCAGCGGTTGTGCCAGTCAGTGCCGCCAGTCAGTGCCCAGCAGTGATGCCAGTCAGTGCCGTCTATCAGTACCCATCATCAGTGTCACCTATCAGTGCCGCCTATCAGTGCTGCATATTAGTGCCGCCTATCCGTGACACCTCATTAGTGCTGTCTATCAGTGCCGCCTATCTGTGCCACCTCATTAGTACTGCCTATCAGTGCCCTTTAGTGCTGCCTATCAGTGCCCATCAGTGCCGCCTATCAGTGCCCATCAGTGCCGCCTATCAGTGCCCATCAGTGCCTCACTCAAGGAGAAAAATTACCTGTTTGAAAAATTTTATAATAGAAACAAAGAAACTTTTTTTTTTCAAATTTTTGCACTTTTTTTCTTTATAGCGCAAAAAGTAAAGCGCCCAGTGGCGATTAAATACCACCAAAAGAAAGCTCTATTTGTGAAAAAAAAATTATCAAAATTTCATTTGGGTACAATGTTGCATGACCGCGCAATTGTCAATCAAAGAGCGGCAGCACTGAAAGCTGAAAATTGGCCTGGTAAATAAGGGGGTATAAGTGCCTGGTAGGCAAGTGGTTAAGGACTATGGTTTTATTTAATTACCGGAGTACTATCCTGTATATACCTCGTCATTACCAGGCCATATTTTTCAGTGCTAGACTGCCAATTACTCAGTTATGCAAATTAATTTTATTTATTTATTGCAAGACAGATTGCTCTTTCATTTGATGATATTTAATACCCACTTTTTTATTTTTGCTATATAAAATGAAAAAGAGCCCAACATTTGGCAGAGAAAAAAACTTTATGAAACATGAAGGAAAAATGCTGGGTCAATACATCCCCAACCCCAAAATGACCCCATAATATTTTTTGCCCCATTTTGTTAAATGAAGTAACATGCAGGGACTGGGGTGGTTTAAACCTGGAGTTTGGTAATGGTACACTAAACACATCATTAAAGTATTACTAAACCCATGACTCTGCAATCACTATATCTGGTCTCCCATAGTACATGGAAATGCAATTATTTTAGTAAATATAATCTACAAAATACCTTTTCTCAGCTGTATATAGCAGTTTTGTGACTTCTATCAGTGTCCAACTGAGCACTGGTAAATCTTGTATGGGGGATTTTCATTTTCTCTGAGTGCCCTGTGAGGCTGCATAACCCCTGACCCTCTGTCTGGACAGCACTGATTTGCCCTGTGCTGATCACATGCACCCCCCCCCCCCCCCCCCCACACACACACACACAAAAAAAAACCTCTCTAGCCATACACACTAAACTGAGCAAGTGCAGAGTGACTCCTAAAACTCTGTACTATCAGCAGATAGATTGGGACTGCAGAAGAAGGTGGAGGATCAGAAAAGACAGGATCAAACAGCCTTTTTACACAATGTCTAACCCCTTAGGTTCCACAGTGAGTATAACAAGCATGCTTTACTGCATATAATTTTTCTGTTGTGGGTTTAGTAACAATTTAATGTACATGTCACATAAAGGGTGGAGGGATAAGAGAAGGTTAATGTGCAAGATAAGGAAGCTTTACGCTGTAGCTTTACATTTTTGTTGATCAACTTTATTGATATCATAAGGGATAAGCAACATCCCTTGTGATAGCATAGGTAGAGAAAGGTACTTTTACTTAGAGATCTGGGGTCAATTAGGAGGGACCCCCTCTTTCTGCATGTAAAAGCAATCCAGCAGCTACTTAGCTCTAGGATTGCTTTTACAAAACAGAGCTGAAAAAAAGCAATACTGGGATGATATGCCTGCAGCTGCAGATCATCATCCCAGTATAACCACTGTGACATAGCGATATGTTACAAGAAGTAAAGGGGTTAACTTAATAATCAACAAGTCTGCTTTTATTAAAACATAAGAGATCGGCTTAAGCAGGGTGGGAAACTGGTATCATACAACTGCTTCTGTCCTGTTTCATATACGCTTTATATATTGACATACCTCCTTAGACCCAGTGTGTCTGGAAAGTATGGTCACCTGCTACCTTGGCACTATCCACAGGCAGGCTAACTCTTCACTAACACACAAAAGTTGATTGCAATGCAAATTTGCTTCAGTTAACTGGAGTACATAGGATGTCTTTCTGTAATTTTGAATAAAGCAAACCTCTTATCAAAAAAAGAGAAGTCTAAGGATTAAGGAACATCTACAAAGGGTAATTGTGCCTAAGTAGGATGCTGATAGGTCTGTCTTCGGCTGAAAAATAGCATTGCACTTCCCAACATGTCTAGGCACTCCTGCTCTGTATCCATATAGATACACGTCCATACCAGCCAACTGGTGTTTGGAACCACAGCCCTCTATCCCTCGTTCTTCCTCAGCGTTCCTTTTTTTTGGCCTGATGTTAGGCTCTCTATAAAAAATGTATTCTTATCAAGTATTTTACTACACTAAACTTTTTGTATAACCTTTAAATTATTCTATTTTTTTATTTGAAAAGCCAAAATTAAGAAACATTTAGTGGGCTTTAGCCCACTGTCAGCTCAAAATGGGTCAAAGTAGTACAGAATGAACTGCACTTCCTGCGATCCATAGTAGTAGGGCCAAAATAGCTTTGGCCCTATTTCTATTTAGTTTCTGACTCAACTTTTGTTGAGTTGGTTCTGGATCAATGACCGAGCAAGAGACAGATAAGCACTGTCTAGGATTGTGACCCAGGATAAGAATACTGTCTCAGTCCTATGCAGACTGAGATTGAGCTCTGCAGTCACATTTGCAGCAATTGTTTTCTTATTCCAGGTCCCAATCCTGCACAATATCCTTTTGTCTCTTTCGGTCAGTTGACCATGTTGACCGCGTTTATGCTTATCAGACAACGTTTTCCCAGAAACTGTATATGCGGTCATAACCTTTGATAACGTACCTCCCAACACAGCAAACAATATGGAAACTTCAGTCACAAAGGCACCAGCTAAGTGGTCACCAATAATTTACCATCTTTGAAGCTCAGAAAAAGAGAGTGGCATATCTAGCTCCTTGTCCCCAATGTTAAATTCAAGAGAAAGATACCCCCTTGGGACTTTACTGCAGATGACAAAACATGAATATTAATATAAAAATGAATATAGGCTTTATTGTACAAAAATACTGAAAAAAAATTACATACTAAAATCATATTGATAACTCTGATATACTGTTCTAATGATATAATGCCTTAAAGGGTTAAAGCAACACAACATTTCCCGAAAGCCGCAACACGTTTCAATCATTCCAATTTAAGGTCTTCCAACTGACACCAATGATCTTTTTAGCTATCTGTAAGGGGGTCATTCTTCCCAATGACCACAAATGTGAGAAGCATTCTTCCCACTGACCATCACACTAATGTGTTAGGAGTTGTAGATATGGTCATTTTTAGCAGAGGTTCCCTGAGACCAGAAAGTTATTTCAAGGGTTTCTCCATGCTGAACAGGTTGAGAAAGTCTGGTCTACGTAGCTGGTTATACAGTGAGAAATTACAGAACCATTATAATGTAAAAAGATGTATATTCAATTGTGCCTCTACAGCATTGAATGCCTTAAACCTGCATCCTGTCATTAACTTGCTGGTTTCAGTTGAGCTGCAGAAATATAGACACTCAATGTGATACACCAATATGGAAGCCACCCCCTTGCACTCAATATGATTAAAGGCATAGTTCAACTTTACCAAAAAAAAAAAAACTGCCTAGCCAGTCAAGGGACACTGGTAGATGAAAACAAGCTGTGCAACTTTGACCAAAGTTGAATAATGCCCTTGCTATAGGTGTAGGCCATTTACATACCTCCTGAAGCCTAACTGAAAAACTCCCAGAGGTGGCATCATTCCATCCTGCCTTGTTGCTTGGACATTGCTAAGGGTCGCTCCCAGCCGTTACTGTTCACCTTCACCATCACAGAAGAGAACTTTGGGGGGCGATACAGTAACAATTGGGAATGACCCTAGGCAATGTCCTAGCAACAAAGAAAACATGGAAATGTCATCTCTGGGAGGTTTACAGTCAGACTTTAGGAGATATGTAAATGGCCTACACCTGTGGCCAAGGGCATTATTTAAAGAATTCCAGGAGTTTTTTTCTCATGAAGTGGGGCTGTGCACGCACTGCATCAATTAACTGCTCGTTTTTGTCTAGGGGTGAAGCAAGCGGCGATACTTACCTAATCTGCCAATCCCTTGAGCACAAGACTTGTACTTGCCGCCCCTGCCCCCCCTCAAAGCTATCGGTCTTGTGAACTGACTGTTCCTGACGTCATCGTACCCTTAGACTGGCTCTGGATGTGAGGACGGCAGGAGCAGCTCACAGCTAAGGATGGGGTTAGTAGAGTCTTTCGTGTGACCCTAGATAAAAGCAGTTAACTCATGCAGTGCAAGCACAGCCCCACTGCATGGGAGAACACATTTTTTTCATGGCATTCTGCTTTAACTTTTGTAAAAGCTGCCCTGTTTGTTTTAATCTGCGACATCCCTTATCTGCATAGGCAGTATTTTGGTAAAGATGGGCTAACCCTCTAAATAAATGTCAGTATTAATATTACTTAGAGCAATTTCTTTACCTCAGTGTTGCCTCATTTTGTGCAATGACCCGGAAAGAGTATTTGTCAGGCAAGAGGGAGATGCAGTCACCAGAGTGCAGCCAACACCATTCATCTCTTTTCAGCGGTACAAAGGTGCCCTTGTGAGAGTCTTGATAAAAACAAGGATTCACGTGTATCTGGAAGAAAATGCAGCAAGATAAAACACCCATTATACACTAAAAACGCAATCGTGTGTTTCTCCAGTTCTAGGAAAATGAAGCAATTACAGGGCACAAATGTCATCCTTTATACTCCACTGGCTGAAAATATCCAAACAGCGTGAGGACAGAACATGAAAATGGAGGAAGTGGACCTGAGGCTTTCCATCTGTTATGAAACTTAAAATCCCATTATGTGTTGCGAATCAAAA